GTAGGGGACAGGATTAGAGGATATGGGATTGGGTTGGAGGGTGAGGTCAGGGTAGGGGATTGGGTTGGAGGGTGAGGTCAGGGTAGGGGATTGGGTTGGAGGGTGAGGTCAGGGTAGGGGATCGGGTTGGTGGGTGAGGTCAGGGTAGGGGATCGGGTTGGAGGGTTGGGATTAGGTCAGGGTAGGGGACAGGATTAGAGGGTAGGGGGTTGGGTTGGAGGGTCAGGTCAGGGGATGATACCACCGTAGGGTCCCGGGTGTGGGCCCCTGTAAGCCTTCATATGAAGTGGGATTTGATGTCTTTGGACAGGAAGCAGAGAGGGGGATTTCCGAGTCCCTGGACCACCTCAATACATGGTCACTTCCAGCAACATAAGATGCCTCTCTCCCACTGGACGGTCAGGGATTGGCTGCTTTTCCCTCAGAGTAGCCAATCAGCCTACAGCAGTGTGTAAACAATGAGAATCAATTACTGATCATAGGCTCCATACACAGGAAGATCCTCCATCCAGTCTGATCATTACATTTCTGTGGGGGAGGGGAGTCCATTTGGGGATAGTTTTCCAGCATGTTGGCTGATCTCTGTGATGTTTGCAGAGTAGTGGTCTCCTTGGCATGGTGTCAAGCTTCCAAGTGCCAGGATGTTGCAGGCATTGTTCTCTTTCTTTTTTTTTGGGGGGGGGGGGGGATTATGGCAGCTCATTGGTTAATCACTTTCTGCCATAGAGGGGCGTGGCTTACTCCTGAGCACAGAATCGGAAGGTTCGGGATGCCGGGCGCGCACCTCTTCTAAGGATCTTTGCACTTTATTCAGACTCCTCTGAACCCCATGGATGTCCAGGATTCAGGGTCCTCCCCAGCCGGGCCCTCTGATTGTTCCCATCTCTCCTGCCTACTGGTAGGCAGGCAGCCTGATCTTCAGTATAGGTGTGTCCTCTCCTGCAGCCATTGCTGGTCTTGGAAATGTGGGTTCAGCGCCTGTATCACTGCTGTGGGTGAGGCAGTACGGCTTGGTTCAGAGGCTGCTGATAACAATTCAATAAACAAATAGTGTGGCGCTCAAAATAAATAAATAAATATAAATACAAAAAAAGTGACTAATTCATATAACAAATCTAATAAAAACCCCACAACTAACATCAACTAAAATTGATTATATGATGATATATAATAATGTATCAAAAATGTAACTCAAGTGATCACACTTTAAATAAATCAAGTGTCTCAAATAAATATCGTGCTTAAAAATAACAAAATAGTGACCAAATAGTGTAACAACCAATATATAGATCAAAAGTGCAGAAAAATCTATAATCCTTCTACAAATCAATGTAGACAATGTCCATCAAGTGATAAATAAATTCACGCAATATACGGTGATGATCAATTGGTGATTTGTGCCATAATCTTCTCCAGTGGCTAGATTTGCTCCTCACCTCCTCCCTGCGACCCCTAAGGGCCAACAGGCTTGCAGGATCAACCTGGATCCTAAAATCACATGGGCCAACAACTTCCCTCCCTCATTGGATTCCTTTATGAGCCTCCTATTTCCCGCCAAGGTGTCCTGGAGAACAATGGCCACCAATCCAGTGAGCCAAGAAAGAAAAACACCCTCTAAGTGTAGTATTAATGACTCCTTTATTAAAAGATATGAAGTAGCATAACTCACATTACTCAGCAGTCCTCCCTCCCTCACCGATGTGTGGGTATACTGCATGTGAATTGGGACTTCCTGGGTATAGCAAGATGGCGTCGCACACCGGAAGTGCGTCACCGCGCACCGGAAACTGCGGACTCGCAAACCTACGCGTTACGTCACTAACAACTGGTGACTTCCTCGGGGTATCGCATGACAGACGCAGTTCCTCCCTTTATACCGGACCTCTCCACCCACATCAATCGCGGCCCGCCTCGTACATACTCGGCGGGGTACCCGCGCCATTTTCTAGAAGACTAACCTTATTCTAACCGTGGCCATTTTCTTGGTGTCCTCCTATACCATTACTGCCGCATGTCACTGAATGGGAACATGATTTTGAGACCTTACTAATCATATGGGAAATCTACATATAATGACCTAAAACTACGGAGTCCTAATAATTTTAATACTAATATATTATATTAATTTATATTAATTAAAAATGGGAAATGACAACCTTTAATACATCTCAATACTATAATCCCAGTATAGGTGTATAGGTATAAAACAATAACTAACTCCTGCCCTGGTGCCTGAGGATAACCATGATGGATCAGTATGGGGTCTGTCCTGAGAGCCATGTCAGTGGGAAGCCCCTGATGTCAATCCTCTTCCGGGGGCCACACATGGTTGGCTGGGCCCCAGGGACTGACCCATGTGGCAATCTAGGAGTTGTGTGGTCACCAGTAGCACTTCCTCTTCCCGTCCTGAAATAGAATTGTTGTGAAAGAGAAGTGAAGCTGCTGATCCGGCATTACCGAGTGCAAGCCGTGCATGACCGGGACGTCACTGGGGGCTTCTGGGAACAATGGTCACCTGACCTTCCACAATGCCATCCGTCCTCGGGCTTCTCCGCACTGCCTGTCTCCTGGCTGCATCTCCCTTGTCCGTCCTCGGGCTTCTCCGCACTGCCTGTCTCCTGGCTGCATCTCCCTCGTCCGTCCTCGGGCTTCTCCGCACTGCCCGTCTCCTGGCTGCATCTCCCTTGTCCGTCCTCGGGCTTCTCCGCACTGCCTGTCTCCTGGCTGCATCTCCCTCGTCCATCCTCGGGCTTCTCCGCACTGCCTGTCTCCTGGCTGCATCTCCCTCGTCCGTCCTCGGGCTTCTCCGCACTGCCTGTCTCCTGGCTGCATCTCCCTCGTCCGTCCTCGGGGCTTCTCCGCACTGCCTGTCTCCTGGCTGCATCTCCCTCGTCCGTCCTCGGGCTTCTCCGCACTGCCTGTCTCCTGGCTGCATCTCCCTCGTCCGTCCTCGGGCTTCTCCGCACTGCCTGTCTCCTGGCTGCATCTCCCTCGTCCGTCCTCGGGCTTCTCCGCACTGCCCGTCTCCTGGCTGCATGCCCTCCCTTGTCCGTCCATGGGCCTCTCCGTACTACCCTGTCTCCTGGCTGCATCTCCACTGCCAAATATTTACGACATGACCCTCCATAAGGTAGAAAATACTCTGCTCCTGGCTGTTCTGTACCCTTCTGATTACACCCACTATGGGGATATCACCTGTCCACATGACCCTCCATCATGCAGAGAATGCTGTGCTCCTGGCCTCCCCATTATCCCGACTTCACAAGTGCTGTGTGATATCCATGTATCTGTACCTGTCTGCATGTGTGTATCATGTGTCTTCCTCTGTACAGACCCGGGTGTGGGTGTCCTGCAATGTTGGGGTGTCCGTGTGCACATGGTGTGTTCTGGGGGTGCCTGTGGGTGTTCATATGTTGGGGTCATCATCGGTATCATGTGTCTTCCTCTGTACAGACCGGTGTGGGTGTCCTGCAATGTTGGGGTGTCCGTGTGCCTGGTGTGTTCTGGGGTTCATCGGTATCATGTGTCTTCCTCTGTACAGACCCGGTGTGGGTGTGTCCTGCAATGTTGGGGTGTTCGTGTGCCGGGTGTGTTCTGGGGTTCATCGGTATCATGTGTCTTCCTCTGTACAGACCCGGTGTGGGTGTCCTGCAATGTTGGGGTGTCCGTGTGCCTGGTGTGTTCTGGGGTTCATCGGTATCATGTGTCTTCCTCTGTACAGACCCGGTGTGGGTGTCCTGCAATGTTGGGGTGTCCGTGTGCCTGGTGTGTTCTGGGGTTCATCGGTATCATGTGTCTTCCTCTGTACAGACCCGGTGTGGGTGTCCTGCAATGTTGGGGTGTTCGTGTGCCTGGTGTGTTCTGGGGTTCATCGGTATCATGTGTCTTCCTCTGTACAGACCCGGTGTGGGTGTCCTGCAATGTTGGGGTGTCCGTGTGCCGTGTGTGTGTTCTGGGGTTCATCGGTATCATGTGTCTTCCTCTGTACAGACCCGGTGTGGGTGTCCTGCAATGTTGGGGTGTCCATGTGCCTGGTGTGTTCTGGGGTTCATCGGTATCATGTGTCTTCCTCTGTACAGACCCGGTGTGGGTGTCCTGCAATGTTGGGGTGTGTCCGTGTGCCTGGTGTGTTCTGGGGTTCATCGGTATCATGTGTCTTCCTCTGTACAGACCCGGTGTGGGTGTCCTGCAATGTTGGGGTGTTCGTGTGCCGGGTGTGTGTTCTGGGGTTCATCGGTATCATGTGTTTCCTCTCTGTACAGACCCGGTGTGGGTGTCCTGCAATGTTGGGGTGTTCGTGTGCCGGGTGTGTTCTGGGGTTCATCGGTATCATGTGTCTTCCTCTGTACAGACCCGGTGTGGGTGTCCTGCAATGTTGGGGTGTCCGTGTGCCTGGTGTGTTCTGGGGTTCATCGGTATCATGTGTCTTCCTCTGTACAGACCCGGTGTGGGTGTCCTGCAATGTTGGGGTGTCCGTGTGCCTGGTGTGTTCTGGGGTTCATCGGTATCATGTGTCTTCCTCTGTACAGACCCGGTGTGGGTGTCCTGCAATGTTGGGGTGTTCGTGTGCCGGGTGTGTTCTGGGGTTCATCGGTATCATGTGTCTTCCTCTGTACAGACCCGGTGTGGGTGTCCTGCAATGTTGGGGTGTCCGTGTGCCTGGTGTGTTCTGGGGTTCATCGGTATCATATGTCTTCCTCTCTCTACAGACCCGGTGTGGGTGTCCTGCAATGTTGGGGTGTTCGTGTGCCGGGTGTGTTCTGGGGTTCATCTGTATCATGTGTCTTCCTCTGTACAGACCCGTTGTGGGTGTCCTGCAATGTTGGGGTGTCCGTGTGCCTGGTGTGTTCTGGGGTTCATCGGTATCATGTGTCTTCCTCTGTACAGACCCGGTGTGGGTGTCCTGCAATGTTGGGGTGTCCGTGTGCCTGGTGTGTTCTGGGGTTCATCGGTATCATATGTCTTCCTCTCTCTACAGACCCGGTGTGGGGTGTCCTGCAATGTTGGGGTGTCCGTGTGCCTGGTGTGTTCTGGGGTTCATCGGTATCATATGTCTTCCTCTCTCTACAGACCCGGTGTGGGTGTCCTGCAATGTTGGGGTGTTCGTGTGCCTGGTGTGTTCTGGGGTTCATCGGATACCATCCATTGGCAGAGTGAAATCAACTCAGCTGGATTACGTGGAGCATGACCTGATAGAGGTAGGTGTGTGCCTGGCTGCCCCACTTCTCCATGGATGTGGTCACATGTGGAGGACATTGGAGGAGGAGGATCATCTGCTCACCATAGTGTACTGTTTGTGCCTTGCAGTTCATGAGAAGTCATGGAAATCTGAGAGCCAAGGATGAGTATGAAGCCTGTGTGCCCCCATTCTACTACCGACCAACAGAGAAGGATTGCATGTATGTTCTCCATGGAGATGTCCCACACTCACAGTACAGGGCTGCTTATTTCTTGTGGTTGCACTGCAGACTCTGGTCACATGACCTTCCCCACTCCTTCCAAGGGGGTGTTAAAGAGACGTGACGTGTTCCATGGTCAGGGGGCCGGGAAGGGGGGGGGGGTGTTGTATTTTCTGATTACGTTTGTTCTTTCAGGGTATTGAAGGAGCAGTGGATCCGAGCGAAGTACGAGCGGAAGGAGTTCACAGGAGAGAAGGATTGTGTCTACTCTGTAGGTAATTGTATATTATAGAGAGGACTGGGATCCCAGGGGGGAGGAGAGGACATTGGTGACCTGTTCCGATTTTCTTCCTCCAGAATATAAAGAAGGCTTCCTGTGGAAGAAGGGAAGAGACAATGGACAGTTCCAGAAGAGACTCTTTGTATACTCTGAGAACGAGGGAGTCCTGAAATATTACACTGGGGACAAAGTGAGTGTCACCTCTCAGACTGGGGACTACCATATTATTATATACGTGACAGTGTTATTAAACAAATGCTCCAAAACAATAATACCCAATTTTACGTAAGGTGAATCCACTACCAATATATAGTCCACTATAAATCTTATGCAAAAAAATGTCCCAAATTCTTCCAACGATATTCCAAAACACAGTCCACCTCAAAAAAAAGGAAAAAACTCATATAGTGCATTATCCTTTATAAAATTATATACTTAAACTTTGTTTGTGCTTCCTATAGTGAAAATACGTGAAAAAATAGTGAAAAAAAACGTGAACCACACGTGATCCGTGAAAAACCACTTCAGTGTACACAACACTCTTACAGTGCCATAACACAGAAAATCCAAAACTAAAATGTGTACACTTCTAGATGCAGTAAGGGTACCCTTACCAACTTTCCCAATATAATAGGCTTTGTAACAATCCAGGAACTTTTCAGGCTGATCAACTCAGGAACCTCTGCTGTGTCCCGCAGCCACCCACTCTCTGGGTTCCTCAGACACTCTGCTCACAGTGTCACCATAAAAACATAGAGGACATAGTGTGATACCGCCAATAAAATGAATAATAAACACTTTATTTGTAACTGCTCACATTGCCAAGTTTTAAAAAACGCATTAGAGGGAGTTCAGAAGGTGTAAGGATCTCACGGACATCAGGGAGACACGTCCCGTCGCTCCTGCTCAATCTCTCCCTTATCTAAAATGGCCGCCAGGTAACTTCCGGTTTCCGGGAAAACGTCTTAACGTCACTCCGCCTTGACGCGTTTCGTCATCGACTTAGTCATAAGGACCCCTTTGGGACATTTTTTTGCATAAGATTTATAGTGGACTATATATTGGTAGTGGATTCACCTTACGTAAAATTGGGTATTATTGTTTTGGAGCATTTGTTTAATAACACTGTCACGTATATAGTTTGGTACACTTTCAGGGGAAAGGTGTTGATTGTGTGTTATAGGGTAATCATATTAGGAAGGAGGTGGTTGATGTTTAATTGACTACCATATTATGCCAAGGACTGTCACATATCTGTCAGGCCACAATTGGGTCCTGGTATGGACAATATATTAGCCATTTGTTGGCTGTATGTGTTATGAGTAGGGATTGTCATGTTCAGGAACGAGGACCCATTACAGTCCCAAATAAGTGTTCCCAACTGGGAGTCAACAGGACCTCCAATATGGCAGCTGCTCTCTCCATTCTTCCAGTTCCCTCTAGTCTCGCTGACTACATCTGAAACAATTCCATTTGTCAGCCAAAGACGTTTTATGTGCAGCATTGTGTGTCTCTTCTAGTGTTTACATCCCATGAAAGTCCAGGGGCCTGAGTATGGGGGTGAGTGTGGGGTATGTTAATATTTTCTCTTCCTGCAGAGATCGGGTCCCAAAGGAAAGTTCCCGATACAAACTTTGAACGCCATGTTCCAGGGGGGAAACATCGAGCACCAGCACGGCCTGGAGGTCACCTGTGTTCAGGACGCACGCACTCGCAGCATCTATGTCTACCATGACGATGGCCAGGTACTACGATTTCTGGATTAAAACTTGCAGTGTTCTTCAATATAAGATTCTTATACAGAAAGTCTGGCTGTGCTCTAGGGATTATGTAGTCATGCAGCCTTCCTTCACCCAGAACCCCCATACTGTATCCTGAGGGACCTCCTGGGCCCAATATTCTTCATTCTGTGTCCTGGGGAGCTCCTTGACCCAACATTACCTATTCTGTATCCTGAGGGACCTCCTAGGCCCAACATTCTTCATTCTGTGTCCTGGGGAGCTCCTTGACCCAACATTACCTATTCTGTATCCTGAGGGACCTCCTAGGCCCAACATTCTTCATTCTGTGTCCTGGGGAGCTCTTGGACCCAACATTACTTATTCTGTATCCTGAGAGACTTCCTGGGCCCAACATTCCCCATTCTGTGTCCTGGGGAGCTCCTGGGCCCAACATTACTTATTCTGTATCCCAAGGGACCTCCTGGGTCCAGCATTCCCCATTCTGTGTCCTGAGGGACCTCCTGGGTTCAACATTCCCCATTCTGTGTCCCTGAGGGACCTCCTGGGCCCAACATTCCCCATTCTGTATCCTGGGTAGCTCCTGGACCCAATATTCCCCATTCTGTATCCTGGCCCATCACATGGCACTCCTCATACTGTATCCTAAGGGACTCCCTTTGCCTACTACATGGCACTCCTCATCCTGTATCCTGAGGGACTTGCTGGACTCATTACATGGGAATCTTCATCCTGTACCCTGAGGGACTTCCTGGGCCTATTACATGGCACTCCTTATCCTGAAGGACCTGGGCCTATTACATGACCCTCCTCATCCTCTACCCATCCTCTACCCTGAGGGACTCCCAGGGCCTATTACATGACCCTCCTCATCCTCTACCCTGAGGGACCTAGGCCTATTACATGGCACTCCTCATCCTCTATCCTGAGGGACTCCCTGGGCCTATTACATGGCACTCCTCATCCTGTATCCTTAGGGACTCCCTGGGCCTATTACATGGCACTCCTCATCCTGTATCCTGAGGGACCTGGGCCTATTACATGGCAGTCTTCATCCTCTACCCTGAGGGACTCCCTAGGCCTATTACATGGCACTCCTCATCCTGTATCCTGAGGGACTCCCTGGGCCTATTACATGGCACTCCTCATCCTTAGGGACCTGGGCCTATTACATGACCCTCCTCATCCTCTACCCTGAGGGACCAGGGCCTATTACATGGCACTCCTCATCCTGTATCCTGAGGGACTCCCTGGGCCTATTACATGACCCTCCTCATCCTCTACCCTGAGGGACCTAGGCCTATTACATGGCACTCCTCATCCTCTATCCTGAGGGACTCCCTGGGCCTATTACATGGCACTTCTCATCCTGTATCCTGAGGGACTCCCTGGGCCTATTACATGGCACTCCTCATCCTGTATCCTTAGGGACTCCCTGGGCCTATTACATGGCACTCCTCATCCTGTATCCTGAGGGACCTGGGCCTATTACATGGCAGTCTTCATCCTCTACCCTGAGGGACTCCCTGGGCCTATTACATGGCACTCCTCATCCTTAGGGACCTGGGCCTATTACATGGCACTCCTCATCCTCAACCCTGAGGGACCAGGGCCTATTACATGGCACTTCTCATCCTCTACCCTGAGGGACTCCCTGGGCCTATTACATGGCACTTCTCATCCTGTATCCTGAGGGACTCCCTGGGCCTATTACATGGCACTTCTCATCCTGTATCCTGAGGGACTCCCTGGGCCTATTACATGGCACTTCTCATCCTGTATCCTGAGGGACTCCCTGGGCCTATTACATGGCACTTCTCATCCTGTATCCTGAGGGACTCCCAAGGCCTATTACATGGCACTCCTCATCCTGTATCCTGAGGGACCTGGGCGTATTACATGGCACTTCTCATCCTGTATCCTGAGGGACTCCCTGGGCCTATTACATGGCACTCCTCATCCTCAACCCTGAGGGACCAGGGCCTATTACATGGCACTTCTCATCCTCTCTGAGGACTCCCTGGGCCTACATGGCACTTCTCATCCTGTACTGAGGGACTCCCTGGGCCTATTACATGGCACTTCTCATCCTGTATCCTGAGGGACTCCCTGGGCCTATTACATGGCACTTCTCATCCTGTATCCTGAGGGACTCCCTGGGCCTATTACATGGCACTTCTCATCCTGTATCCTGAGGGACTCCCTGGGCCTATTACATGGCACTTCTCATCCTGTATCCTGAGGGACTCCCCTGGGCCTATTACATGGCACTCCTCATCCTGTATCCTGAGGGACCTCCCTGGGGGCTGTATTGAGGGACATGGGCTACATGGCACTCATCCTGTATCCTGAGGGACATGGCACTCCCTGGGCCTATTACATGGCACTCCTCATCCTGTATCCTGAGGGACTCCCTGGGCCTATTACATGGCACTTCTCATCCCCTGGGCCTATTACATGGCACTCCTCCTGATCCTGGGACCTGGGCCTATTACATGGCACTCCTCACTCCTCCTGTATCCTGAGGGACTCCCTGGGCCTATTACATGGCACTTCTCATCCTGTATCCTGAGGGACCTGGGCCTATTACATGGCACTCCTCATCCTGTATCCTGAGGGACTCCCTGGGCCTATTATTATATGGCACTCCTCATCCTCTACCCTGAGGGACTCCCTGGGCCTATTACATGGCATTCCTCATCCTGTATCCTGTATCCTGAGGGACCTGGGCCTATTACATGGCATTCCTCATCCTGTATCCTGAGGGACTCCCTGGGCCTATTACATGGCACTCCTCATCCTGTATCCTGAGGGACCTGGGCCTGCATAGGCATGGATAGGCATTTTCTGAGATGAGTAGGGCAGAATCCAGACATTTCTAAGGTCACTGTTGTGGATTTTTTCTCTGATACAGGAAATCGTCGCCTGGTACAATGTGCTGCGTTATGCCCGCTACAAGTACTTGAAGAAGAACTTTCCAGACATCCCAGAGGCGTTGGTGAGACTTCTGACCTGTGTGTGAGCTCCAGAATGGTCCAACTCTCCCATCATTCACATACCCACTTTCCAGCTACATCATCAGACTCCTCCCACTACCCCACACATACTTTGACAGACTCCACCCACTTTCCACCTACTTCATCAGACTCCACCCACTATTTACAAAATGTTCCCAGTCCCCTCGGATGCAGATTGTTACATGTATGATGGCATTACTGGCTGGTAGAAGCCATCCATCTTTCCTGTTGCCTGTGTTACCATGGACATCCAATCAGATGTCAGCTGTCATTGTATGTGTGATGGTGAATGAAATGCTAATAATCCGAATCTAGGGAATGAATTCCTCCAGAGAGTATCATAGAGTCGTATACAGAAGATGACGATCGTTGTGAATACCGTGGGCTGAACGCAGCTTTGGTTCTGACAACGACTTGAACGGATTGGTTGGCTGATCCCAGGCATATGATGAGCACTCAGCTGGTGCCTGGAGGAGTGGAGACTTCACCTGCAGTATCTGATGAACCGGCCCAACCACATTCCTCCACTTATTTCCTGAATTTCTGCACACCATGAAAAGTCCCATTGTGGCTGCCTGGGGGCCACTGCCACTGCAGGGAAATTACACCAGACCCCCTCCCCCCAGGTCCCCACCTTCACCCGTTGCCAAAAACAGAAGGTGCTGGGAAATGGTGGCTGTCATCAGGAACCATGCTGAATCTCTGCAACAGAAACTGACCACCTGAGCCACAGGGCGGCTGCATCGGGTCACATGGTGTCACCTCCAGCAGAAGGATGATATCTCAGACCGGCTGGCACTGCCTGACGGCTACGATTGGCTGGCACTGCCTGACGGCTACGATTGGCTGGCACTGCTGACGGCTACGATTGGCTGGCACTGCCTGACGGCTACGATTGGCTGGCACTGCCTGACGGCTACGATTGGCTGGCTGACGGCTACGATTGGCTGGCACTGCCTGATATCCAGGATTGTCAGGTGGAATATGAGACGATGCAAGCTGATCCAAGAGATCAGGAAGTACCCCATCCTCCCTGTGTGACACTGCCTGACCTTTACAGTGCAATGATGAACCAGAACTGCTCAAACCAAACTTCCTGGCTCACCTCATGTCAGCATACTTGTGGGTCAACCCCACCCCTTGACCTGTCAGGACAACCCTCATAACAGTGTACATTGTACCCAACGATTCCTTGGCTTGTTTACATTTCCCTGCCCTGCCTGGTGGCAGATTCCTTGGTCTGTATACATCTGATAGGAATACCCCAGTGCTGGTGAAGATTAGGCCTAGACCATGGACGGCAGGACGACAGTATTTTTGTTGCTTTTGGAGGCCTCTTTAGTTCTTCTTCTATGGTGCCCCTGTCCTTGTTTTAGTTCTTTCCTCTGACCCTGCAGGCAGCCTCCCTGTGCTCCATCTACACTCGGCTGGCGTGTTCCTGGGTGCAGTATAGAAGCGGAGGTACTTCCAGTTTGCTTCCTTGTGCCCCGTGCTGGCTACAGCACTGTGGTGGTCCACACATGTATAAGGGGGGGAACCAGCCTTCAACTGATGGCATCCCTCCACTCCCAGGTTATACTAATCTACCCCCAAAGGAGCCACTTATGTTTTCCATGGGCTCCCCCTTTTTCCGCCTGCCAGCCACGCACAGTGTATTTCTTCAGCCGAATCCACAAGCACACTTCTGCCCGTTGTCTCCAATCACCAGTCTAGGGGAAGTTTTGGTTTTGGAGTTTATTGTAGAACTGGAGATAGGGATGGGGAATGTAGTCGGATACTCCAAAATCAGAACTCTTCACACTGAGGACATCTAGCTGATCTCTTAGTTGTACACTTATGAAGTCCCGGCTGCCTGGAGATAGGGATGGAGAATTGTAGTCGGATACTCCAAAATCAGAACTCTTCACACTGAGGACATCTAGCTGATCTCTTAGTTGTACACTTATGAAGTCCCGGCTGCCTGGAGATAGGGATGGAGAATTGTAGTCAGATACTCCAAAATCAGAACTC